TCAGTAAAAATGAACATCAAATGAACATTTGGCTGTTTTTTTCCCCTTCATTTGTGATGAGACAAAAAAAAAAAGAGTCTGGGTTCAGCTTTTAACAAATCATCCTTACTGTACTTGTAAATTAGAACATTATAAAGAACCTATTACCTTCTCGTGGAAGTGTGTGTGGCGTTGTCTCAGCAGGAAGTCCACTTACATGTGTATGAACTGCCACGACGGCCTCACACACRCACACACACTCCTGTGACGATCCTGGCAGGTGGTGAAAACCCACACCAGCCTTGTGTTTTCCACAGAGACGGTGAAGGTTGCACAGTTAAATTTTCTGTGAAGCGCTTCAAGAGGCACAGCAGGTGGACGCTCGCGCTGTAATTAATTGCCGGTGCTCACGTGTAAACAGTGTTCAATTCAGATTAATTATACAAGCGTGAAAATGACTTTTTCCTCCCCCCCTGTATGGTTAGCAGAAGCAGAGGTGGTTTTGTCGGTGCTTTTAGATCCCAATTATACACACGACCTCGCTGTAAAGGAKGTGTTGAGCTGCATGCATTCATGGGTTTTCGGCCTATAAATAATGTGAAACTGTGTTTTAGCTGAGTTCAGAAGCCTTAAGTGGTCTGAAAGGAACCCAAAAAACTCAAATCTGCCATTAAATGTTACTTGCGTTGTGGCAAATGCAGAGCTCTCTCTGCAGCACAATAAATATTCCTTTTTTATTCCAAGGCAGGATATAAATGAATCCAGGTTGCTGTTTTAACTGGGTCACTTCTGTTTCCCCAATGAGCATTTTAACATGTTATGTAATGSCTTATAAATATAGCTGGTTAAAGATAAGTGCGAACAGTAGCTGCAATGCCATCTGAAGGAACTGAAATCTGTGTCAGCCCAGTTTCAAAGCGTGCCGTATAAAATATGAAACAGATATTAGGTGCTGAACTAAACTCCGGGCCCAAGCACAAAGCTTTCATTTCTGAAAATGGGAAACTGTTTTACTGCTGCTTTTATTTTGCTCCTGTGTTTATGAATAAATGCTATTGTGTCTAGTACACTGTATCATGATTATGAGGTGATATTGTGCAATTATGAGAGGCTAAGTCATAATTTTGAGATTGTATTTAATAGTTATGAGATGCTTTGGCAAAGTAGTTTAAAATTATAAGATGCTAAGTCATAATTTGGAGGCAATATGTAATAATTATGATATGCTTGTTTATAATTTTGAGGTTATCATAACTTTGAAGAGAAAAATCGTCGGAAATGGGCTTTTAAAAGGCTTTAAGACCTTATACTATAAAATACATAGAAAACAGTTTGTTTATGCTGTTAAGCCCCGCCTTCAGTGGACTTGTCTGTCAATCAAGTCTAAACTCCGCCTTCAATTCCTACACGTCGATCAAATTCAGTCCCCGCCCCTTCCCTGCTTGCAAGTCTCGGGAAAAAAAGCAGCGGCGGTTGTACTGGGGAAGAGAGTAAATAGAGGGAGAAGCCTCAAGATGGCTGACTCGCAGGGCTGTGTTCACCTCTCCGGAACTGCCGCTGTTGCCTCCGTGAAAAGTAACCCGACTGAGGCGAAGGGAGCGCCGGACATCCGTTCGCAGTCCACTCGAGATTTCAGCCCGCCGCCGTCCAAGAAGCTCCGAGTYGAAGAGAAGCCGAGCGGCAAAGCCAGGAAACACAGCAGGGACGGGGGTGTGGGGAGCGATGGCAGCGGGAAAGAGCAACTCCAGCAGATCCCGATGCAGCAGAGTTACGGCAGCGACCCGGGCGTGTGGACCTCGTTCAGCCCGGTGAAGACGAGCAGCGGCAGCCACCCTCCGGTGCCTACCACCGGCTGTTCCCAGACATCGACAGGCGCACACAAAGTCCTCAAACAGAGCGACTTCTTCCTCCACAAGACGCCCTCGTCCTCGAAACCCAAGAGTAAAGATAAACTATTAGGAGAGAAGGGGAAGGGAGGCGGGGAGGAGAAAAGGAAACATAAACTGTTGTTGACCTCCGGACCCGGKACTAATATTAATAACGGCAACGATATTCGTGGTTTTAACAACATTTCTGCAGCGAAGAAGGAAAACGGGGAGGTCATGTTACCAGCCCACGGTAAGCCACCATGTTTTTTTCGTTTTATTTTTTACGTTACTTTAATTGACAAAGTTTCGTTTGTGGTGAAAGTAGCGTTCAATTCACACTTTAAATGTGCAGCTACGTTATTTGTATCCGCGACGTCGTTGTTTATGGTCACGTAAAGAAAACAAACAAGAAAACAAACATTATAATCGCTACTTGTTTGCTATGGATGTACGTCTTTATTACGGTTTTATTTTCTTTTTTAAAAGGCTTGTTTAACCGATGAGTCTGCGGACTGCTTCCCAGCTTTCGTCGCCTGTTCACCCGCTCGTGAACCACCACCACCACCCCACCGCGCGCGAGCCCCGGAGAGGAGCAGCGGTCGTCGCGCGACCTGGCTGTTGAATCCAGCTGCTCTCGTGCTGCGGCGGAATCGTTACGTAATTGCGTGAAAATACAAAGCGATTTATTAAGATAAAACAAGTCGAACCTGTAAAGCGCTGTACACGAATTTAATAATATTACACTTAACAAAAAAATGTTGTTTCCTCGCTGTCATATTGGTAGATTAATGAGCTAATCTGTTAAATTTTTTTGACATCACGTGTTTTATTTCCAGCTGTTTGAGAACTAAAACGCTCCTGTCATAATATGACAGCCGCCCGCCATTATGTGCTAAGTGTTGTTTTGGTGGAGCGCCACGCCCCCCTCTAACCCCGGGCTGTTTAGGAAACAAGGCTTGTTTATACAGTTGTACAATGCAGCAAATGATCTATTCATTCACTACTTCACAAATAATTAATCTCACTTCCGTATTGTCTACGTTATAGTTTTCTATGCATGGAATTAACCACTAATAACTGTGTGTTAGATTAAAAAAAATAATTGTAGTAATCACTCTATTATGGCTAAGTGTACTAAATAACATTGTAGTATAAGTGTAATTATATATTATTTTATTTGATCCAAACTAGTGTCTCAAATACAATACATGTTGTTTTATTCTCTCTGTTTGGACTCTAGCAGGGGCCCAGGTGGGCACATGTCAGTGTGTGTGAGTGCATGATGTCACCCTTGTTTCCAGTTGGCCAGTTTAGGAGGTCATGGCACACTGCAGTCGAGTAAAAAGACTGTTCGGTGTCACTTTACCCAGTTTTTGTTTAAAGTAAAATAGGGRTTTATCAGGATTTGAGAAGATAAATACGTTATGCTGAACGCCACATAGTTTGTTTGAAAAAATGTCAGTAATAGGTTAATTTTAGAACGCAATACAATTGTTGCTTTTAATGCAACATCATCTTGACCTGACAAGCACAATTTATATAATAATAATAATAATATTGTAGCTAATTAGGGATGTAAATCAACAGCTTTATCCAGATACAATAGATTTGTTTGGATCATGATAGGATGTTTCTCAAAATCACAATGTGTGTCATGATACAATTTAGATCCAATTTGCAAGTTTGCGATCAATAAATTGATCCACAGCAAGAATATGAGGATGATCTAGACCAGTGTTTCCCAAAGTTGGGGTCGGGACCCAAAGTGGGGTCCCGAAACATCAAGGT